TGGAGAAAACTGCATAATGATGAGCTTAAAAATTTCAAACTCCTCCCCCAATATTGTCAGGGTGATTAAGTCGAGAAGAATGAGATGGGCGGGGCATGTAGCGCGCATGGATGGGACAACAGGTGGTTGGGAAGCCTGAGGGGAAGAGACCTCTGGGGAGACCTAGACGTAGATGGGAGGATAATGTCAGGCGGGATCTATGGGAGATAGGAGTTGAAGGAGACTGGATTTTGTTGGCTCAGGACAGGGTCCGGTGGAGGGCTTTGGTTAATTCGGTGATGAACCTTCGGGTTCCGTAAGGCATCTGGTTGGTTGGGTCCACTATTTGGGAAGCCTGAGGGGAAGAGACCTCTGGGGAGACCTAGACGTAGATGGGAGGATAATCTCAGGCGGGATCTATGGGAGATAGGAGTTGAAGGAGACTGGATTTTGTTGACCCAGGACAGGGTCCGGTGGAGGGCTTTGGTTAATTCGGTGATGAACCTTCGGGTTCCGTAAGCCATCTAGTTGGCTACTGTTATCCTATTTCTTTGTCCCTTTACTATCTTCTTTCCAATTCCTATCCTCTCCTCGTGAACTTCAAGCAAGACTTAAAATATCATCCGCGCTACATTCCCCATCGTTTTCAACGCTTTGATAATTAATATTAGAACTTAACAGAGATTACACAATACGAAGAAGTAATGTTGTCGTGAATTGGGGGCTAGCTCGAAGTGGCCCACGTTCTCTCGAAGCCTTGTACTTTGTCCCTCAGTGCAGAGACGTATTTTTCTTGTATTGCCGTTCGTTCCTGTGTCTTGTGCTTTGCTAATCACTGCTTCTCTTTTGTTTCCCGCTTGCCGTGCTGTTCCCTGCTGCCGCCGCTGCTGCCACCTAGCAGAGCTCAGCTGGAGTGAGTATTATTAAGTTGTTTCATTCGCTTTGAACCATACTTAATTTAAGCTATCCTCTCTCTCTCTCACTCTATCTCTCGGCGAACTGATAGCAAAATAATTACTGGACACAACAGACGAACGCAATTGTTTGACAAGTCAGAAAATCTTTCTGATATTGGAATCATTAATCTGTTTGCCCCAGAGACAAGAAATGACCTCGAAAAGTCTCGTCGGCGTCAGGAAACCACACACGACGAAAAGTGTATTCTGACATTTCAAAGCAGTTCTTCACGCCACAACACTTAGGCCATTGTTAAGTAACATCGCGGTCAAACAGTGAACTTGGGCAAACGGGGATCCCCCAGGACGACGTCCACTCGAAAGCTGGTTTTTCGTGGGCGTGGTACTAGTGCGCTGGCAGCGACTTCATTTGTTTTGTGAAGAGTCGGAGTTTTCATACAAAAATTGTTGTTAATTGAGAGACTGACAGTAATTGTATTTGTAATTATTATTACGATGTTGAGGCGGAACGAAGTATTTGCTGGCGAGCCACAGAACGTAAACCATATGAAACGCATTGGTTACTAAACGTAATATTAAAAAATGGAAATTTAAACACACAAAGCGTTGTTTCAGGAATGGGTATTAGGAAAATATGTATTTGGTCTACAAGGACCATCGGAAGCTCTTACAGGGTTTTAAACCATACTCAAGCTTGTAATTTGATGACCGGCGATTGGTTTAAATGTAATGCCATAAGCGAATTCTTTTGTTATAAGACAGTGTGAATTAAGTGCGCTTTTCTTCATACTTTATGATTTAAGAGCACTTAATCCCATGCACTTGAACAGCATTAAGGACAGACTCGGATTGTATGGAGATCGGAAATTTGAAATGTTTCTTTGTCCTACGGATTCTGGTTATTTTTTTTCCCCTCATTTTATGGAATTGTTTTTATCTGGAATTTGTATTGGATAGTCGATTTCTTATCTTTCATTGCATATGGGAAGTTTTTGATAATATCTGGGCTATTTTCACGCCTTCAGCAGTTTCGTAACTTTTGGGAAAACCCTAATTTGAACGGAACAGTTTCTGCTGAAGAACCGAAAAGCGCTCATTTCGACTCCTTTGCGTCAATATGCTTTTATGTGTGTTTACGGGATGCAGTCCAGCTTCGCACAAGACGTCATCCCCAAGGAAATGAATTCGAAAATATCCGTCTTCTGGGTTGTTGCGCTGTGTAGTCCGGTCGATATTAACCAACGTTTCAGAGGTCATACTGCCTCCGTCATCAGGGCGAT